CATACCAATGATTCTGACTGGTCTTCCGTTTGACTTCAAACGATTGCAATATCCAGTTCGCCTTGCGTTCGCAATAACAAGTCGCAAGGCCAATCGCTTAGTGTTTGCGGGATAAATTTCAAATAGATTATTTAGAAAATTATTGTTTTTCGCATGGGCAGTTATACGTTGCCTGTTCACGAGTTGGAAAACCATCCGCTTTGTTTGTGTTAACGTCAGACCAAAAAAATGTGGTTTACCAAAGAGCACTTCAATAAAACGGAAAATTTGCGGATTTACTTTCATTTACTTAGAGAAGTTCAACTAAAAAATACTTCATTTTTGTAATCAAAATAAATTCATTACTGTTGTATAATAAAATCAAATTTTTCCTTTTCAAATTTAAAACAAAAAAAAATTTTCTTCATCTTTCTCACAAAACCATCTGGTGGCGAAACGGAGTTCGTCGGGTTTGCTAGTAATACATATAAATCTATTTATCACCTATTATTGCCTGTGATAAACACGTGTAACTTGCATGAATGCTGCTATCGATATATTTACTTAATTAATCAATTCAAATTACTATGGAATTATTCTAATCTGATTATTCTAATCATTTATTTAAAATTGAATTCCGGATACATTGTTGTGATTTGTATGATAAGATAACCAAGCAGTCATTATTAACTTGTTATCGTCCACTTATATAATAATGTAATACACATATGTTCATTACATTTGGCAAAAATATCTATCAACAGATAAACGTAACACTTGAAGTATTTGATGGCAATTCAATGAATATCACTGATGACGTAGATGATGCGGAAGATCTGGTTGTGATCGAAACTAAGGAGGACACCAAGCACGATAAAACTGAACCGGAAGCATCTCAGGATGGTGATACAATGGACGAAAATGGACGTGGTCGTTTGGTAGGGCAAATTTTGAGCACGCAAAGAGCTCTTGGACAAAATACTAAGCCCGTATCGCAAAAGGTTTGTAATAAATAAAAAATTATTTTATACAAAATTGTACAAAATTGGCATAAATAATTTGTTTTAAATAACTTAACTATGATTAAAAATAACAATTACTAGTTAAGGCAAAGGTTTTCAACCTTATCGAATCACGGTCGCCCGTTTTTATAATAAAAATATTGCGCCCCTCTTGATTTTTTTAACAATCTAATAATTTCATAAATACTCAATTGATATTATAATTTAAATATCAAGCTAGAAATTAATATGCAATGATATTTAAAAGCATACATAAAAAAATATAGTTTTGGTTTAATTTCGAAAATAGTATCTTGATTGCATTAGTGTTGCGCACCCCTGAGGGAGAACGCGGTTGGATTCCACGTGTTTAGGGATACGATAAAAATCAATTTGGTTGAATGATTTTTTTTAATCAGAATTACTAACATGTGCGCACATTTTTTTATTTTTTATGATCTATGGATTTTTTCGCTTTTAAACTTTGAATAGTAAAGTATAGGTTTCATATAAGCATTCTCGTCGTATGCATCGCTTCATCAGATATTTGATGGGTGCTTCTAATTTTATTACTAAGTAATGGCAAAGATATAATTTTGACGTATTATTTTTAAAAATCCGTAAAAGTAAAAGCCGGGACTCAATGTGGAAATCAGGGACTGTCCCGGCCAAACCCGAGCATATTCAGCCAACTTAGTAAAACAGATTGGTTTAAATAAGCAATTCTTTAAAATAATGTACTATATGTCATTCACAAATGTCATTTAATAGCCATTGACTAAGGCAACCCATTTTGTGAAATATTATATATTATATTAAATTAAACTTCCAGGATAATGAGTCTACAAGTGTATCAAAAACCGATCTCTCTGCCCTGGATGCTTTGCGAAATTCAGTGCAAAATCTTAGCGGAGCTGCTTTACCTTTGGGAAGGCTTTTGGACTTTCTACAGGTTTAAATATATTTTATTTTATTAATATGTCAATTTAATACATATAATATTCTTTATTTATATAGGAAGATGCAGACTCGATGCGTCGTGAATTGCGCCAATGGCGTGACACTTACACTCAAACGGTCGAAGAATTGAAAAAGGACACAGGGTAACGAATGATTTTTTCTTTAATAAAATTCAAATGAAAAGTTTATTTAGTTATTAATTTTAATAAATAAATTGTTTATTCTTAGAATAACTGAAAAAGTAATTCAACCACTGAAACATCAGCTGGCTCAACTAGAAACTCAAATATCAGAGCAGCGAGAGTTAATTCATTCATCTAAGGCTAATGTACTGAAACAAGAAGAAAAGATTAGAAAAATTTTATATGAATGTTAAATAACAATATATATTATCTGTTAACATTTGTTAAAATTTATTACAGATTTTGATATATATTTTTAAATAGCAACTCTAATAGAAATTCGATTAATTTAATGCACATGTTGCCAAGAAATATATTGTTACTGGCCAAAGCAAATATTTATTTTGTTAAAAGTATATAATGATCATTTAAAATAATTATATAGTTTTTTTAATTCAAATATGCCATTATTTTAACTTGTTATAAGAGCAGATTACGTCGCCCGATTTGTTAATTTTATGTTTTCACTTCTTTTCAAGAATTCTTGATCGTTTGAGACCCAAATTGAAAAAGGTTTGTTTTGCTGTATATATGAGTATTCGGGAGTTTTATTTTCACTTTTTGGGATGTCAAAATTATAAAAGCCATTTAATGAACCTTGATAACTCATTGATTGGTTTTGCGAAACCACCTGGCAAGTCATTTCTTTCGAATCAGTAAATTAGTAACAAATGCAAAATTTTTCAAAAGTATTCAAAAGTTAGTTTTTGGTCAAGATTTGTCGAGCCATTTCTTACGAATTAGTAAATTTTTAATTTTTTTGTCTTTTGTTCAGTGAAACATCTTAAAATTTCATAGGTATACAAAAAGTGGTTTAATTAGAAAAATTCATCAAAGAATAATAGGCAGTGTGAAATTTTCAATAGAGTGCTAGATTTTAAAAGTTTTTAGATGTCAATTCTTATTGATTAAGTCGATTATTTATTTACATTAATAGAAAAGTTTTTGCAACTTGCCTGAACGCGAAATACCACTTACCCTTAGTTAAGTTTTGATTTTATGTGTATATGTACATGAAAGCAAATTGTGCATTTTTCAATATTTCTTCGGATAACGCTTACTAGATTTAAAAAATTAAAATGTTGTTGATAAATCTTTATTGACTCGTGTTAATTAGTTTTGCTTAATGATTTTAATTAGCCGAATGAGAATCTCGTGTTCGCGAAAAAATCCGATTTGCTAGTTTAGTGGCTGTGTATGTGTGAGCCGATTTTTGATCTTCGACAAATGTCGACGTTTTCTCAAAAACGGCTAAACCAATTTTAAACATTTAGAAGTAGTCTTTGAAATAATATTATAGGCTTATGATAAGTGGTAGAATTATAAAAAATCATCAAAATTTATAAACTCGCCGCGAGCTTAAGTGATTCTAATCAGAATTCGTGCTGAAGCATATGTACGATCTTTTTGGTGTTTTGGTGTTAGACGGAAGCCAACTTATTACAGTTGACCGCCCACGTTTAAATAAAATACATTTTTAGGACAAGAAATAGATGAAATGAAAAGTGTTAAACAAATTATGAATTAATTCATACAATATATTATAAGTATGTAAGAAAGACATCAATCAGAAAATGTATAATTATTTAAATTAGTTAAAGTGAAATTTTCGAAATGAACAGTTGATGGATATTTTACCTAGATAACTGAATCACAATTGTTTTGAATTAATTTGATTATGTATAACGTATCGGGAAGTTCAAGCAACTTATTGCTTGTAAGGCAAAATGCAACTTACGACTATAGTTTCTAATAAGCATCAGTTACATTAATAACTAAAAAAATATCACAATATTGAAGATTCGATGGTTTCAAATTTTACAATAGAGACGTACCTCCGACATTTGCTGTTTATATTCAATATTTTATATAGTTCAGATTATTAGGATGATAATTCACTCGATCCTTACAATATATTGATATAGTTCATCAGTTGAAGGGTACATTTGAAATATGTTCGATATACAATTTTTTTTTTTAATTTGAAATTTAAAAAAAATCAAAAACAATTATTTTGCCAACACAAGCAGAATGTTTTTTGGTCTATCAATAGAAATCGATTGCTTTTTGAATTTTTCAAATCGTTTCATCCATTCGCCCGAAATCGTCGGTGAAAAATTGTCTCCACACATACACGCACACACATCCATTTTTTCTGAGGATGCCAAAATGTTATTATTATTATTATTCATTTCCATGGCTTCAAAATTCAAAGTTCATCAGATGCAAAACTTTTACTATAAAAACAAAAGGTACAATTTAATTTCTCGGAATAAATGAGCCATTTTCTAAGCACCGACTCCCCATTTTCGATTTTTTCTATTTTTATTTGAATTTTATTTTTTAACAATTTCCGTTTCATCTAGTTAGATAGATTATTATAATCTATTAAGTGTTCTTGATATTATATTGAAAAAAATATATATATTATAAATTTTATATCCGAATCTCGTTTTGGCGCCCCCTAAGGCGTGCGCCCGCATTTTTCGCGTGCATTGCATGCAAGGACCCAGTAGGACCGGCCCTGTTTATAACAATTACATACACAATTAATTTGAAAAATTTAACAAAAATACTTCCTACGAGATAAGTTAATAAGTTATAATTATAACATAAAATTAAGTTAACTTAACGTATAATTATAATTACGTTACATGGATATTCAACATTTTTGGCATGACGCATATTTTATCCCAAAAACAACAACTTTAAAAATTTCTAATCAACACATAATTCTAATACAGATATCCGAAAAACAAATTCGAAATGTAAACTATCATCAGTGTTATGAATCTTATATCAGAAGAAATTCCTCTTTGCTCTAGTTGTCATCGGTGGTCAATATTTTCGCAACACGTACATTAAACAAAACACCAATGAAACAATAATTCAGAGTATTAGAAAGTGACGACTGAATTCTATCATAGCATATCGGCTCGTTCTGCTTCTTTCCAGTTTATTTCAAATTTACTAAATCACATGACAACCGACAGATAATTGAGTTCTTACCTGCTGTCAGATATCTGGCGAGATAGTGAAAAGTAAATAGATAAAATTATTGGTTCCGTATTATCGCTGAAACGCGATAATATTCTCACACTAAGTTCTATAAAACTTTCAAAATTAGTAAATACGAGAAAATGGAAGACGCTCCTCTATATAATGAGAAACAATCAATACGAGAGAAGGCGAAATCATTGAAAAAGTATGGCAGTACGTGTAATCATTTTAAACGACCTGAATTGCTGTTAAAGTATTTTATCACCAAAACTGATACGTTACAAGGGATTGCTTTGAAATATGGAGTCACTGTAAGTATTTTACAAATGAGGTTATAGTAATATATCACTAATAAAACCTATCTTTGATTGCCTTATATACTGATCATTCATAATGAACTACTAATTTTTAATATTAATAAGATTAGTGATTCACCAGACACATGTATCATTTCATTACTGATTTATATTTAATCATTGTTCGTAAGTCAAACTTTCAGGGAATTATATATATATATATATATATATATATTGTATATTTATATGTATATATATTATATATATTTTTTGCTCGATTGTACTGCAGTTCCATTTGTAAAAGACACATATTACTACGTTAATTACATGCAATGCAAAAGTTATATGTACATATATTTCAGTTGATAAAGATAGTGGTTTAGCAGTTTTTTTTTACTGGAAATGGTCATGGAAGTTTGAAATTACTATATTAAATGTTTTAATCAAAGTATGTTTAAGAATACTTGTTACTACAGCATCTACTGTAAAAACTAAACAATATACTACTAATTTTTAATATTAGTAAGATTAGTGATTCACCAGACCACATCTCATTTCATTACTGATTTATATTTAATCATTGTTTGTAAGTCAAACTTTCATGCAATACTTTTTGCTCGATTATACTGCATTATAAAAGACAGATATTACAACATTTGGTAAAATGATTCGTGCAATGTAAAAGTTATACATATTCATTGAAATATGCATATGTTGATAAAGATAGCAATTTAGCAGTTTTTTTTACTGAAAATGGTAGTGGAAGTTAATAATTACATATTAAATGTTTTAATTAAAGTATGTTTAAGAATACTTGTTACTACATCTACTGTGAAAACTAAACAAAATACTACTAATAAGATTCACCAGACACATGTATCATTTCATTACTGAATATATTTAATCGTTGTCTGTAAGTCAAACCAGCATGCAATATGTTTTGCTTGATTGTACTACAGTTCCATTTGTAAAAGACACTAATAACTACATTTGGTAAAATAATTCATGCAATGTAAAAGTTATACATATGCATATTTCAGTGTTGATAAAGATAGCAATTTAGCAGTTATTTTTACTGAAAATGGTCGTGCAAGTTTATAATTACCATATTAAATGTTTTAATTAAAGTATGTTTAAGAATACTTGTTACTACGGCCTCTACTGTAAAACTAAACAATATACTACTAATTTTTAATATTAATAAGATTCACCAGACACATGTTCATTTCATTACTGAATTATATTTAATCTTTGTTTGTAAGTCAAACTATCATGCAATATTTTTTGCTCAATTATATTGCAGTATAAAAGACAGATATTACTACATTAATTACAACATTGGTAAAATGATTCGTGCAATGAAAGTTATACATATGCATTGAAATATGCATATGTTGATAAAGATAGCAATTTAGCAGTTTTTTTTTGTCGTGGAAGTTTATAATTACTATATTAAATGTTTTACTTAAAGTATGTTTAAGAATACTTGTTACTACAACATCTAATATTAAAACTATACAACATTACATCACATCTCATAGCACATATCAAACAACCAACTATCAAAATATGTCCAGAAAGTTTGCCATTTTCTTGTAAAACATTCCATCTGTCCCCATTTACACCAAACACACCCAATGTCTAGTTTTTAAGTATAAGAATCAGCATATTTTAATTATTCTTTAATTTTTCATTTGGTTTTTGTCTGATTCACTGTTATGTCAATTAGTTATTGACTTTAATAAAATATGTAATTTTAACATAGATATAAATATTAAAAACTATTTTGAATTCATCATTTAAGATGTATTAGGTTGGAAACTAAGTTTTTGTTAGAAGAGACATTTTTTTCCTGGATCTACATTCTGTAATGTATTGTTCATTTTGATCAAGACTTTTCGTCATCTTTAAAGCAGCATCATCATCCCACTTTTAAAAAACTTTTGGCTTTTATCAGCAAAAAATTGAATCAGGTACAATTTGATCCCATCATCATTATTGAATGATTACTATTTGAGGAGTTTTATAAAGATCTAAACAAAAAGTAATCAGAAAGTGCAAGGTCAGGATATATAGTGAATGTGGTGAAACATCCCAATGAAACTCTAATAACTTTTGCCAAGTGGCCAAAGACATGCCAAAGATCATTTATCCAATTCAGACCATTTTTTTCAACTACATTGTTTAATTTTGTTAGTCGTTCAATGTAGACATCAGAATTGATCATTTCGTGTGGTAATATAGTTCGAAGTAGATAATTCCTTTTTAATCAACTTCTCCTGGTCAACCAGAGCATCTTCACCTTTGAGTGAAAAATTTTGAAACTTGGCAAAACTTCTATTATTGGCACTTTCATTTTTTTTAAGTCTTTGTCAACATAAACATCTCATAATTTTTTGTGAGCTTAGGATAACTTGGTGCCTTGCAAATCTAAATTTGCAATAGAAAAGCAAAATATGACAACAAAAATAGATTTGATTTTCCAACTTCAATGAACACCAAACGAAAACTACACACAAAAATGTCTTTTTAATGATGGACATCTAAGTTGCCTGCTATGCATTACCAAGAGATATTTTACATTTGGAATACTTCTGCAAACCAAAAAATTCAATTGATACCACTTAAGCTGAAACCACACTTACTTAGTTTCCAACCCATTAGTTATTTTACATATTGATCATCTATTATTATTAACAATGAGATAAATTACATTGCAGTTCTGAATTGCCATGATAGAAACATTTTATATTTTACATCTTCTGATATATATCCTTTACATTGCAGACGGAACAAATTAGGAGAGCAAACAGGGGCATGTTTTGCATCAGATAGCTTATTTCTTCGAGA